TTTTTTTTTTTTTTTTTTTTTTTTTTTTTTTTCGTCGCAGGACATGTGTCGAGGGATTTTTTTGAGATTTTTGATAGTAATTTGCGTCCTTCCAGCGAAACCTGTGTCGGCCACTTAATCGCTGTAATCGACATCCACTTCTCTCTTTCCCTCTGCAGTGCTCCTATCCTCCTTTCTGGATCCCAAATCTTTCTCTTAGTGATTTAACTGTATAAGCGAAATATACGAGGGCGAAAGGACAAAACCTTAATATGCTCGAAAGGGGCAAGAAGGGAAACAAAGTGGAAATCATACGAGGTTTGGCTATATTCACAGCAGTTGATACTTTTACTTCTAATCTACTATGTCTACTACCGCTCTATTACTATTACTATCACTATTAAACTATTACTATTACTTCTACTATCGCCGCTGCGCCACGACATTTTTATGTACATATATTTTCTCAATTCTTACGTGCGCAATGATCCGATAATGACATGTGCGCGAATAAAAAGAAAAGGCGTGTAATATATGTGAGATAGAGATATGATCGCACGTACGCGTACGCGTGTATTGTGTGTGGTGTGTGCGTGATTGTGTGTGTGAGTGTGTGTGTATTTGTATGTGTATGTGTATATTTGTGCACGTGTACGCAAATAAGATAGAATGCAGAAAGGTAAAAAAGAAGGAAAACAGATAAAAAGGGGACATAGAGAAAGGGAGAAAGAGAAGGAAGGAGTGAAAGAGCAACAAACCAAAAGTGTTCGATCATCCAGCTGCCGTTGCGCTCCTGTGTGTGTTTGCCCGCGTGCGTGTGTGTAAAATATATTACGCGAAATATATATTATATTATTATATACATATATATCGTATATATGTATATATATACATATATATACATATGTCTTTGCTGCTCACAACTCGTTTCTTATCTTATAGATAGTTGTAGTTAGATGGCGATTCTCACATTGTTTATACCACGAGTAGTCACGCGATTGCACGTGCATTTGAAACGATTTTATACGACTTTTATCAATCGCCCGTGTCTTTGAGCGTAACCAACGTTAAGCTTTTTTACACGTTCGGTTGCAGCAACGTTAGTGTTAAGCGTGGTTAACTAAAAAAGAAAAAAAAAACATAATTGTTTCCCCTCTCTGTATATTGTATCTCTCTCTCTATCTATGTCTATATTATAGATCTATTATTTAAAACACAAAAGAAGGAATCGTTTAGTAAATCTTTCAAGCTGTTAACGTCTTTAACTACTGTAATGCAAATTCTTGAGAAGCACACTATCCGACACAGATCTCAAGATATTTTCAGATCGGCTGCGCTAATGATGTACAATGTATTCTCTATACTTCAAAACTAGACAAAAGTTTCATCGGTTTTTCAAATATTTTTTTAGAATGCACAACGCATGTCTTTCACATTTTTCTAGATGCTATGGATAATTTTTTTTAAACCAAATTGATTTTTTTCGAATTCTAAAGTAATTATTTCAATACGGCGAGAATGTTCGTTCTAAAAAATTTACATGCAATTTTATATTTGACCGTCCCAAATAAACTGCAATCTGCTTCTAACCATATAATATTTAAAAGAAGAGTTTATAATTAAACGATTTTTATTAAAGTTTGCGAATATTAAAATTACTTAATTGTCATAAAAATCGGAGAACTGAGTTTCTCAGATTGAAAAATGATTTTTTCGCTATTGGTTTTATAAGACATTCCTTTACTGAATTCACTCTCAGGAATAAAAGATTCAAGATAGTTTAAGGGACCTTCGAAGTTCTAGTTGATGTCGTTAATCGTGAAAAAAAAGATGTTATCGTCAGTCATAAGATCTTTTGTTTAGTTTTAAACAGAAGTGTGTAGAGAGAATACGTCTACACGCACTTTGTGCCAACACAAATTGAAAATTCGTATTTTCCGATACGAGTTCCAGCGTTACGCTATTACATTTTGTTACGCGAATATGAATTTTAGTTGATATACTGAAGAGAAAAACAGGTGTTAGTTAACCAAAGCTGCAACACTGTTGGTGCAATGGATCCTTAGGGAGTAACAGCGGAGAGTAAAGCTGGGATATAGGTGAAGCGGCAGTCCGCTGGCAACAAAATTGCTGGTGCATTTAAAAAGAAATGGTCATTCGGATTCTCATCAGCGAGTGCGAATCCAAACTCTTTGTACTTGGACGAATCTCTATAGTTGGGTCTTGAAGACCTTTCTGAGAACTTTTCGCTTGACAGAATCATATTATATATTTTCTAGTACGAACGGTGGAATTATACGCGAAAGCGATTTTCGGTTAAGGAAAAGAAGATATATTGATAAGCTACCTATAAGGTAGTTGAAAGATATCGAGTAAATGGAGTTAACTAAAAAAAAAAAAAGAAAGGAGGAATAATGTAGAAGGAAACTATATATAAGAAAGTTGCGCGGAAGTGACAAAAAATCAACATAATGTTGATAAGCCAAATCGGACATTATTTAAGTATAGAAACGTCTGAAATACTTTAACTTTCGTTTTATCATATTTGTCATTAGCGCGTAAAATCAAATTGTGCCATTCAATTGTCACAAGTAATAGGGATGATTGAGCCGAATTTTACACATAATAATGACGGAAAAAATGCATTTGTTCAATCGTCAGAGTCTCTTTAAGTCTCAATATTTAGATTACTACGATTTCCGTAAATGTCCGGTGAGGCTTTGTGACTTGAAAATAGGCCATAGAACTTCTCCATTGATTCGTGACGCATTTTCCTTCTCATAATAATTCATGCATCTTGTCCGTTCAATTTTATACGGGACATTGTAAACAAAATTATTTATTGAAGGTACGATAAAACATAAAGAGGCTTGGCATTAATTAAGGGCTCGATGTTTTGACGAAAAATTAAAGTGAGATTTGGATATGGTAAATACGTATTTAAAAAAAAAATAATATTACGGTCGTAATATTATTGGTATACGGGTCGTCTCGTGACTTGCAACATTATTTTTAATGATATATTTTCTAATCAAATTGATTTTTATTGAACGAAAATGGACTGAATATATAGATGATTCTCGAGTTGCGAGCAATTGAAAAGAAAAAACTTTTTAAGAACCACACTCGAGAAACAATTAAGTTAACAAAATTATACTTTTCTAATTTAATTCTATATAGGCTATATAGATCTTTAATACATTTTTTTATCAATTACAAAAGTATAATGTTAACGATTATAAATTTGCCCCTTTTGACATTTTCGTTGAGAGAAAATCGACTTGGTCAGTAATTCTATCGTTAAAAATAATATTACGAGTTGTACGATGTTTTTGTATATCTGATAATATTGTTATAAAGTAAACAATGATATTACACCGCTGCATATCTTCGTTCGTTTGTAGTTTTATCTAGAGTTCAAAGAGTTCACGTTTTATTGAAGAATTAGCCACATACATAAAAGTGAATCACTGAATATTAACAGATTTGTGCTTAAATTTCTTACTGTACTGCCTACAAAACTTTTTAGTTTTTAGGGATTTATTCTTCAGATGTATAAGATTTCTCGAAACCAATGGATGCTCTTTAAACTTCAGATACGAAAAGTCAAGTTAGGACAAAGTGATGATTGCTTCAGAAAGAGACGTCTTTAAAATATGTAAAAATTATTTCAATTAAAAGATTTTTTATAAATTCGACATGAAAGGTTTCATAAGATAAAGCCGCTGAACTCTATGAATTAAGATTTTAAGAATTAACCTTGAAAGTTTTTAATATTGGATACAGTGAAAACCTAGAGTAAACAATAGTCTTGTCGAGAAAAATATTCATCAATGAAATAATTCATTCCTATAAAATCTGCGGCTGGAAGAGCATCCAATAATTCTTAGATATCCGTATTTATACCGTACTAATCGTTTTTATGTAGTTCTTGTATGCAGCGTTATTTTGCATTAGATAGACTTGCGGGAGAAGATCAATGGCCAAAATGCCGTTCCTGGGAAAATTGCTGGCTCGTGCTCGCTTGTTATTATAGAACCGGCCTCGAATGTTAAAAGGGTTGACGATTGGGCATTAGATGTTGCAGTTCCTGTTACTGTTAAACATTACGAGAATGTTAGAAAAAGGACGGCTGTCGTGTATGTATATACAACTATCTAGGAAATTTGATAAGGGAGGCTTGATCTTCGCGGTTCCTCA